TTGGGGAGCGTGCAGATGCTGCAGCTTGGGGAGCGTGCAGATGCTGCAGCTTGGGGAGCGTGCAGATGCTGCAGCTTGGGGAGCGTGCAGATGCTGCAGCTTGGGGAGCGTGCAGATGCTGCAGCTTGGGGAGCGTGCAGATGCTGCAGCTTGGGGAGCGTGCAGATGCTGCAGCTTGGGGAGCGTGCAGATGCTGCAGCTTGGGGAGCGTGCAGATGCTGCAGCTTGGGGAGCGTGCAGATGCTGCAGCTTGGGGAGCGTGCAGATGCTGCAGCTTGGGGAGCGTGCAGATGCTGCAGCTTGGGGAGCGTGCAGATGCTGCAGCTTGGGGAGCGTGCAGATGCTGCAGCTTGGGGAGCGTGCAGATGCTGCAGCTTGGGGAGCGTGCAGATGCTGCAGCTTGGGGAGCGTGCAGATGCTGCAGCTTGGGAAGCTGTCCGCTCTTGTTCCATCTCTCGTAAAAGTATTCCTTATACCGACTTTTACCCAGTTATTCATTTCTCCATTCTTACCCGTTGGCAGGCTTGTTGGTCTTCTGTTACTAGTAACTAACTGCGTACTCTTAAGGGTTGTGTGTCCTCATGGCCGTCCTCCTGCCACCGTAACCGGCGGTGGAAAATGGGTCTAGCAAGGTTGCATCTTGGCCATACTCGCTTAACTCAGTCACTTAATGGAGCGCCACCCAGTTTCTTTTTCTCCAAATTTCATAGTCCCTCTTACAGTCATGCATATCCTTGTTGAATGTCCTGACTTCCAGTACGAGCGTGTGTCTTGCTTTCCGACTGTCCCTCAATAGAATTCTTGGTGAATCGGATACTTTTGATATCGTTCTCCTTATGCGTTTCTGTTCTCGTATTGGCATCCTTGGTGATATTTAGTACCCTCTGATTATTCCGCACATTTGATGGTGTTACATAGCCTTCCTGGTTTGGTGCCTTCTTTTGATAATTACTTACATTTACAAAGCCCTGTTCTTAAATGCAAACCCTGCTCTGAAACTCTCCCTGGACAGATGTAATAGGACCTATTATCACCACACCAGAAATAAATATCTCTGATATTTCCAGAGTGAAACTTAATCTGTATAAACACTATGCAAATAATGAGACCTAGTCTATGGAACTCACTCCCTAATAAATTGAAAAGCTGTCCAACTTTTGTCTCATTCAAAAACAAAACTAAAAAGTACCTAATTTCATCTTCATAGTTTCCTACCTGGTGCTTTAAAATTGCACTGTATCTAGTGCTACCCAATCTTTATGTACCTAATCTGAACAACTTTACCATTGTGATCATTGCTGTCTTCTTATATGTGCTATCAATATGCTGTATTGTGCCTATTAATCTTTGTTAAATTACCAATCAAGCTGTTCAGTGCAATCAATCAGAGCTACCGATGTGCTTTAATATACCCAGTAATCACTCATCTCATTGTTTTTTCTTGCAATGTATCTATCATTTTATAAATTCTGCTAGAATTTACCTACTAAAAATTATGTGTTAGATTCGTAGCACCTGCCCGAAATGCTGCGCGTACTAGTGGCTTTACAAGAATGTAAATACCATGCTATGTATTCTCACCAACCCAATGTACCTGCTTGTATATAAATAAATAAATAAATAAACCCATGGAACTGTCTACCCGCTGAAGCCGTAAATGGCAAAATCCAGCTAGAAAATATCATTAGGATAATTGGCGGGACTTAACAAGCCCCCGTTTTTTTGTCCTCGTCGAGGCCACTAGATAGTGTGTGGTCCTTGGGTAAATTTAAGTAAATATATACGTAAATAAATACCATCGCTTCTCAAATCTTGGGAGCGACAAGGGAAACTATACACAATCTTTTAGAATTACGTAGGTAAACAAAAAATGTAACATACTTGCATACTACAATGTCGGTGCTGACTGTACAAGTTGAAAAAACATAGTTTTACTTCCAAATGTACTAATTTTATAAGAAAATTCGACGTAAATAAGTAGCAAGTGGTCATGAATAAACTCCGATATGCCAACGTCGTGATTGGCTACAAATGTAAGATGAAAAATGTTACCTTCTCTCTGATTGGCCAAGCTAAATGCTGAGTGACATCTAGCGAGACCTAAGTGAACTACTTAAAAACCTTCGTAAGTTTACTTTTCTGAATCGCTCTTTGGCGCGTTCTTAGCCGGCACTTAGGAACCTTCGTAGCATACATACTTATGAAGAAATAGATGGAGCTTCATAAATCTATGTCAAGGTCTTTTAAATTTAAATCTAAATATGCCAGTTATAAAAGGGTTTAAAGCCAAAACAAAGTGAATCAAGCTCTTTACTACACACGATAATTTATGTCACACCTGAACTTTATATGTTAATGAACAATTCTTACAGCCCCTAACTTTTCACAGGTAAATTTTGTGATTTGGAGATATTAGAAGGCGAGCTGGCCGACATAAACTGTGATGCTCTCATACCCTAGCTGCTCCACAGACGCCATGCTGCTATCACAAGGCGTCTGGACCACATGTAGCCACACCCTAACACTGCCTAATCAGGCCACACCTACAGTAACAGATGAGAACCCATTAAACTTTGTACTAACCCATGTTTACCGTAAAATTGAGTAGTACTAACTTTGCTGTAGTTTAATTACCACCATATGTGATATAATTTATAGTATCAAAAGATAAATGTTTATAGCTTATTATTATTACCACACCCATTGTATAAACTGTAAACATCCCTTCCAACTATGTGCAAATAAATTCTGGCAGGCTGAATCAAATATACAGTCCACTTAGAATCATAAGTCTCCATGCAGTCTCCGTGGTGTAGTGGTAAGACACTCGCCTGGCGTTCCGCGAGCGCTATGTCATGGGTTCGTATCCTGGCCGGGGAGGATTTACTGGGCGCAATTCCTTAACTGTAGCCTCTGTTTAACGCAACAGTAAAATGTGTACTTGGATGTAACAACGATTCTTCGCGGCAGGGGATCGTATTCCAGGGACCATAGGATTAAGGACCTGCCCGAAACGCTATGCGTACTAGTGGCTGTACAAGAATGTAACAACTCTTGTATATATCTCAAAAAAAAAAAAAAAAAAAAAAAAAAAAAAAAAAAAAAAAAAAAAAAAAAAAAAAAAAAAAAAAAATAAAGAATAAAAAAAAAAAAAAATAAATAAATAAATAAATAAATATTGAAGTAACAAAAAAAAAATAGAAAATAAATATTCACAAAGAATAAAAACAAATAACTGCCTGCTAGGATTATCCCACATACGGTCAATTGTGAGACAGATAAAAATCCATGCTTAACCCTCAAACCGCTAGGGGCCCAAATGGAATTCACACCCACAGGCGCAAAAAAAAAAAAAAAAAAAAAAAAAAAAAAAAAAAAAAAAAAAAAAAAAAAAAATTCTTTCGTCTTATAGAAGTGTTCATTTTTGTTCCCTGATCACGAAAAAAATAACAAAAAAATCGTAGGTGGCATATTTTAGCCGCAATAGAGTAGGGAAGTGTGGCAAAAAAGGGGCGTTGGCAGAGCCTTCGCCAGACGAGGTCTACTCCGCCCGAGCTGTCAGACGGCAGTTGCCACAAATATATTATTACCTAATTATTTCAATGTCTAATTTTTTCTTAGTTTTTTTCAGTAATATTATTCCATACAGTGAATTGTGGTATATTTATATTATAAAATGTGTGAACCATTGCTGTACTCAAAATTATGGTGTGCATATAAGTGATTCAATTATTATGTTCATAAAACAAACAAATAGTTTTGCTGTTGTTACACTATATACACAAGTTATATATAAGTATCTGCATGTTTTGTACACCATAACGAACTACTAAGTTGGTCTTGTGAGTCAAAAAGCAACGAGGAGTGACCGCCAAACACCAGCGAGCCACTCACTGCCACTCCCTTCCTCAACACCACCTCACTCACCTCCCACAATACTGTTTTTGTATTTATTCACTATACACAGACGTTATATACACGTATTTACGTCTTTTGTTCACCATAACTGTACATCTAAGCTTGTATGGTGAGTAAAGGCACAAAGACGTAGCTACTCACACAGTCAGCTGGTGGCGGCAGCCCTCAAGGCCAGACGCACTAATATTTGTCCTCCAACAATATTGTTTGTGGTGTTATTACGCTATATACACACATTATATATAAGTATCTACCTGTTTTATTCACCATACCTGTACAAATAAGCTGGTATGGTGCCCAAAGACCATAGTGGCCATCAGTAAACAACATGCCAAGTCGTGCAGACGTCGCTCCTCCTTCACCAAAATGGCGGCTCCCAACCTACTCCTCTCGCTGTTATCTCACACTATACACACATTATATGTAAGTATCTACACTTGTCTTCACCATAGCGAACCACTAAGCTGGTATGGTGAGTGCAGTCAATAAATGGTGGCCACACAGTCAGAAGATGACGCAACAACCCTCCCTCCACAGCCTTACTCCTCCCTCCATGGAGCACAGCACTAAATATCACCACAATCCTGCTATTATCAGAATCCTGGTCAGTTTTATCACAGTCAGGGGGCTTCAGTAATACTATCACTGCTCAATAATAGCAGTATCATTTATATTATGGTATTTGTAGGCGATGCTGTGGTCACAAGCTGAACAGCAGTGCTGTGAGCTCGTGCTGCGTGCGCCAGCCTTGGTGGCTTGCTCAATACTGACGCTGTAACACCCAAGAATGTTGGCCTGGATTTTTTTTCTAGGTGGCATTTGGCAACTATCGGTCGTGGCTGTACTATAGCTGCCCCTATCCCAGGCGGGGTGTTTAAATTATAGCGCTAGACACGAAATCATATATAAATGATGTGCGTGGTTTCGGTTTTGTCACCGATATCATTTATATATGATATGCGTGGTTTGAGGGTTAAGCAACATTCTAACTATGCCAACTGGTTATATGATACTACACTAGGACAACAAGGCTGGTGATCTGAGCAAGCAAAGGATGTTATGACCATAACAATGTTGTGTACCGTGATCCGGAGCCGCTGCGTTGCCTCAGCCGTAGATCAGTAAGAGTTGGGTCTATCTTATCTTCATCATTAATTTGGTTGACAAACTCTTTACGATGGCGACGCATGTAGTCAAGAATGTTGCCATACTTGCAGTACTCCACAAGGAGAAGTAGTTCACCTGAGAGAAAGGATAATTATAAGTTTGTTGTAGCTTTTATAGCGTGGAAAATAGTTTTTTATTATAACACAACTTTAATTTAATTTCAACCATCAGACAAAACAAAGATTAAGCATTTTATATAATGAAATGCCTTATTTTGTGGAGCCTTAGTGGTGCACTGGCTTTGGTCTTATGTACCCAACACCACGATCATTGTCTGGTGTGCTCAGAGGTAAGCATGGGGATCGCAGATCGACACAGAAAAAAGCCTCCCAGAAAGTGCAGAAGCAAAACAAACTATGCATTCGATGAGTTACAGTAATGTGGCTGAAGATATAATATCCAAACCACACATCAGAAAATGAATAAACGATGACGTTTCGGTCGGTAGATAACTTGATAAGTATAGCATACGGACAGAAACGGCGTCGTTTCTTAAATTTCTGATGTGTGATTTGGATATCAAACAAAATATTTTGATTAAAGATAAAATAAAATAAGGCAAGGTCTGCCTGTAATAAGCAATGATCGCGCCAGTGTCCACGCGCGCCTCCAGGTGGCAGCTCGGGTCACCTCACAGCCAGCTCGCCAAACACCTGAGGCTCACGTGCCGTGCTGCCTAAAGACGAAGCTTATTCCCAAAACAATGAAGGGCAGTTACAGGGAGCTACTAAAGCCACCCAGAAGATTAACTTTCAACACATTCAAAATTTGATTTTTGGGTTGATTCCTTAGTACATACTCCATATGGCACTTCGCAGAAGAAACCGACATCTTGGAAAGAAACATTAATAAAATAATAAGGACGAAAAGAGTTCACTCATTGGGTGAGGAAGAAGGAATCCAAGTATAATGGGAAAATAAAATTACCGGCTGTAAAGGCACCCAAAAGCCACACAAGCATATTGGGGCGAATGACATCCAATAATAATAACGAACCGCCAATACCCAACTGGACCACCAGAAATCCTGAACCTGAATATTTAACATTAACTATTAGCAAAGAGGGAAGTAATGATTAGCTGAAGCAAACCATCCGAAGCTTGACCTAAGAAAACCTATCTATGGAACAAGATGGGAATTGACAATGAATCACAGAATCACAAAGAATTGCCAAATTTGACAAAAATATTTGAAAAACTAATCTACAAGCAGCTTTACTCTTATCTAGCCAAACTCAATATACTTAGCTCTTGTCAATATGGCTTCAAACCCCCAAAAAGCACTAACGATGCACTTATTAGTATGATTAACTTGATACATACAGCTCTTGATAAAAATGAGTTCCCTGTTGGGTTATTTGTGGACCTGCGTAAGGCTTTTGACACTGTTAACCACCAAAACCTTCTTCTTAAACTACAACATTATGGAGTCAGAGGTCACTCCCTGCAGTACATTAAATCTTACCTTACTGATAGGCTCCAGAATGTTTCTGTGAATAATTCAATTTCTCCCACCCTACCCATCATCATTGGTGTTCCTCAGGGCAGCATACTTGGCGCTCTCCTCTTTCTCATCTACATTAATGACCTTCCAAATGCGTCAAAACATCTCAAACCAATTCTATTTGCTGACGACACGACCTTCATTTACTCCAGTCCTGACCCCCTTGCTCTAAATGTCACAATACTGAGCTAAATAAAGTCCATCACTGGCTAACTGCCAACAAACTCACCCTCAATATTGACAAAACTTTCTATATTTTGTTTGGCAATAAATCCTCAAATCAAATAAATCTCAGGATTAACAATACCCAAATTTGTAACAAAGTAGATGGCAAATTCCTTGGCGTTCTCATTGACCACAAGCTGAATTTCCAGGGACACATTCTAAATATATAAAAAAATTTAAAAAAACTGTCGGCATTCTTTCTAAGATCAGATATTATGTACCTCGCCCTGCCCTGGTGACGCTCTATTACTCCCTCATCTATCCTTATCTCAACTATGGTATCTGTGCTTGGGGTTCTACTACTCAAAATCATTTACGTCCTCTAATTACTCAACACAAAGCTGCTATTAGGACAATATCTAACTCTGGCCCCAGACATCACTCGGTACCCTTACTCAAATCTCTGAATATGTTAGATATTAAGTCCTTGCACATCCTCTCATGTGTATTTTATATATATGAAACGCTGAACTGTAATGTCAATCCTGACCTTAAAAGCTTCCTAGAAGGTTGTAACAGATCCCATGAGCACCACACCAGAAACAAATACCTATTTGATATTCCAAGAGTACGACTTAGTCAAACTAGAAATGCTTTACAAATCAAGGGACCTCGAATGTGGAATGACCTTCCCAATCATGTTAAAGACTGTGCCTCTCCCAACCAGTTTAAGATAACAACTAAGTACTACCTAATTCAAATCAAATCAAATGTTTATTTAGGTAAGGTACATACATACAAGAGATTTTACAAAGAGTGATGGATATATAGATAGGGCTAGTACATACAATGCCTAAAGCCACTATTACGCAAAGCGTTTCGGGCATGAAAAACTTAAATGACTAAAGCTTAATTCTAATTGAGCATAAAGAATAAAATGAGTTGAGAACAAATAAAAAAAAAAGATATAAAAAGGGGGGAACATGGCTGAAAAAGCAGCACAAATACAATTCGGTCGACAAACAGCGTCATTTAAAAAAAACAGACATTGGTTGACAATAGAGGGGTAAGGTAGGTTTCAGGGAATTTATTAGGTAGTGCTTCGTTTTTATCTTAAACTGGTTGAGAGGTAGTCTTTAACATGGTTGGGAAGGTCATTCCACATTCTGGGTCCCTTGATATGTAGAGCATTTCTAGTTTGATTAAGTCGTACTCTAGGAATATCAAAACTGTATTTATTTCTGGTGTGGTGCTCATGGGTTCTGTTACAACCTTCTATGAAGCTTTTGAGGTCAGGATTGGCATTACAGTTCAGCGTTTTATATATATATAAAATACAAATGAGAGGATGTGCAGGGACTTAATATCTAACATATTCAGAGATTTGAGTAGGGGTACCGAGTAATTAACATAATTAACTCAATGTAACCTACCTCACCCCTAAAATGTCAACCCATGTCTTCTATTTTAAAGAATGCTGTTTGTCGACAAAATTGTATTTTTGTGTTTTTTTCTGCCATGTTTCTCCCCCCCCCTTTTTCCATTTTTTCTTATTTTTTCTCAACACAATTTATACTTTAATCTCAATTAGTATTAAGTTTTAGTCTTAGTGTTTTTCCTGCCCGAAACGCTTTGCGTAATAGTGGCTTTAGGCATTGTATGTACTAGCTCTATCTATAAATCCATAAATTTTTGTATCTTACCTTGTATGTACTTTACCTAAATAAATATTTGTATTTGTATTTGTAATTATTTGAATTTTGCCCAGCAAATCATGAGAAACAGTGCAGAGTAGAGTGCGGGTGAGAAGCCCGGGACACCTGGACCTACATTCACCAAGTGTATAATTTCTTCAGTGGTTGTATCACAAATAATCCTAGGGATCCTATAGTTATTCTGTATATCATAAAGGAAAATTTTTGCACGAATTTTGTTATGAGTTTTGCACTGGTTTACCGGCATGTTGAACGAGAGTGTAAGTAACATTCTTCCTCTCATCCCTCAGCGAGCTCAGCTGTTAAACTGACAAAACGCATATGTTTAGCTGAATACCAACAATATTTAGCTTTCAAACAACCAGTCACCGGCGATGCGGCGGCAATGCTCCACTATTACAGGTATCTTTGTCCTCACGTGCGATATATTCCTTGGAACGTCGTTACAATCATATTTACATCTCTCTGTTTCTGATGGCATACAAAACTTTAGGCTTTCAGTGAATCTTTGTAAATTGTACAAATGATCATTGTGTGTGTGTGTGTGTGTGTGTGTGTGTGTGTGTGTGTGTGTGTGTGTGTGTGTGTGTGTGTGTGTGTGTGTGTGTGTGTGTGTGTGTGTGTGGGGGGGGGGGTTTCAGTGCTCCAAGGAAGGAGACATACAGCGAGTGTTAAGTAAAATACAAACCTTTTCACTTCAACTTCATATATTTTCATGATCAACACTTTCTCTCTCCGATGATGCTTATATGCGGCATTAGTTTTTCTCTTTAATGTGAGCCGATGACAATCTTGGGCGTCATCCATTAAAATATTTGTATAAAATTAAATTTTCATCCGAGCAACTTCTAGGTGGTTTCAAAATGAGCGCCGTTAGACTGCGCCCAATTTGATACCAAAATGAAAGACGTAACATGAAAATTAATGTCAGAACACTTGGAAGATTTAAATAATTTTGTGGCGATGTCAAAAAGTGTCCAAAATTTAAAATATTTGTTAAAATTCCATTTATTACTCTATTATTATGGGACTAATTTTAAAATGCGTGCCTTTAGATTGCGCACAATTTGATACCAAAATGAAGGACGTAGCACGAAAATTTATGTTATCAGACAGAACGAGTATATACATTAGTCTGCAGGTGTGCCAATTGGTGCTCGTTCACGGGTAACTTGGCCGACTTTAGGCTTTGCTGTGGGGAGTCACTCCGGGCTTTTAGACCTTATATGCATATACCCCTATAGAGAATTCTATTGCTATATAGAACTAATGTTATATATGTATGTTCCTCTAGAACATTTCATTGAGAACACATTGATACCAAAATGAAACACGTACATCGAAAATTACGGTCAAAAACAAGAAAAAGAGTATAAACTTTTCAGTAGGGGTGTATAGTCGATATGTGCAGTTGGGCCTGTGGTAGCAGGTAACCCTTGGGCAACTTCCCACGGTCTTGCGGGTGGGGAGCGCCCATGTTTTGTACTTTATATTCATATGTCTGTACGGAATTTTATTACGGTCACAATGATACCAAAATTAACGAAGTAGAACAATTCTGGGGTTGACGAACCTGAAAAGAGCATAAACATTCCATCGCTGTTTGGCGCTCATTGCTAACTATCGACATACTTTTTTATTTGGTGCGGGTCTCACGTCGGCTTTGGTGAAATTTTATATATATATTATATA